ATAATATGGCATGTTAATATCTTAACCATGCAAATGAGTAGAGAGAAGGTACCAATGTAAATCACTGAGCTCCTCACACTGCACTCAACTGTGTAAGTAAGCAAGAAACGCAAAGTCAAATTCTTATTAATTACAGATTTACTTAACTGTTGATGGAGGTGCCTATCACAGTGTCAACCTCCAGTCTGTTTGTAGCAGACAAACTGCTGAATATTTTCTTTACAAAATATGCAGTATATACAGTGGCATTTACAAGCAAATTTAAAAAAAAATTCTAAAAAGGAAAAAACTTTCAGTGCAAAAATGTCTGCTGAAAGTGGAGCACAGACCCAAAACATAAACAGAATAGAAACAGTTTCATTATAAAATGTTTGTCATCAGGAGTCGTATGCAGGTTTTAGGTAAGCAACAACCTGCCTGCGATGCTGTAAAGGAACCAATTCATTATTGCTGTGCTTTGTGGATTTATGTGGGTTATAAGATTCTAAAGCTTAATTTCACCCTGAGGAACAAAAAGAAAGAATTGCAAGTTACTGAACTGTTAAATATATATGTATATATCATCACTAATAACATGACAATTGCCCAAGGGGGCTTGTTTTCTTGCAGGCATGAATCAAGTAGTTTGAGTGGGTTGTAAGACAAAACTGTAGTTAACGTTACATAAATAATGTCCTTAACCCCACAACTGATGAGATTTACAGAGGGAAGAAGAGGGCATGCACTGATGTCACCTTTTATATGAGAGCACCTGACCACCCTCACTGCCACTGTGGACAAACTCAGCTGTGGAAAACAGACAACTGTAAAAGCCTAGGTAAAAGTCATCAGATTGATGTGCACGATGTGACAGTTGGTCTGCAGGTGTTGAAATGTGCCAGGACAGACCCCATCTCCCCCTGGTATTAACATATCTGTATCTGGATAATGATATCTGATCCGAACAATTTGTTATTTTATAACATCTTAGTTTGAATGGTAGGTTACCATTGCCTTAATATTGGTGCAGGAAAAAACAAACAACTACAAACAACTAAACTAATCAATCAACCATTTAATCGCCAATGTAGGATCCGATGGCCAGTCGGCACAAGCCTAAGCTGGACCCTTGCAGACTACATGATGAAACTGATGTCACAAGAACAAAAAAAAGTATTGGAAAACACCAGTGCTAGCTTGGCTAACCCCATCAATTATGTAATTCCTGCAGTGATGATGTTGCATGTGCTTCCTTTGCAGAGGAAGGACTAATCTGTAGCTTTTTGGCCTTCCAACTTGTTAAGTATATTTTATTTCTTAAAATTTTTTCCAAACTGTACAGACTTCATTTACACCTGGCGGGGATCAGTACAGTACAGCTCCTGAGGTGGACTGGCTGATCCAATCAAATTCCAAGCATTTACACCTAACACATCCAGATACAGACTGCATGTTAACACCAGGTGTCAGTTTCCTGTGAAAATGGCAAATTTCTCATATGGTGACATCACATGCAAACCCTGCAATATGATTGCTTCATGCAGTGGTCACTATGACACTCCAACCCAAAATCCTCATCAATTCCTGGACAATTTAATACAATCCTGCAATGACACTTTGTTTTGTAACAGATTGCATTATTTGGTAATGTTGTCCAATCTGTGTATGCTTACAACATGGACCAAGTAAGCCACTTTTTTAGATTTTTACCCTAATTTTTGACTCCTGTGAAGAGACCATGTGAAGATTCTAACTACAATCTGAGTGTCAAAGACCCTCCCCATTATCACTCTCTGCAAACAAGACTCATCATGTCCACTGGCTGTGACAGCCATGTGTTGTGTTCACGCACAAACAAACATCTCCATGTTTAGTCACTGTTAGGCTCCTGTCTCAGGGGTCGTTTCAATGTACAATGTGAGGCAGAAAAGAAGACAAAGAGCAAGCAGAGCCACCAAGTTCAACAAAACATCACTTTTTTCATGAACATCAGTCTTTCAAGACGTCATCATCCATTCAATCTATTCCTTCATCCATCCATGAACTCAGCATCACTTTGTTTCTGCACACATGTATACACAGTAACAACAGATGAAGTACTGGGACAATGAGTTTAACTTGGTCTTTGTTGTAACCATCTATGGTGACATTTTCATAGCCATAATTCTGTGGAAGTAGACAGATGGTGAAAACCAAATGGTAACAGTGAGATGTTTTCATGTTAGAATCATTCTATATTCTATGATTGTTACTTGGATCAAGCTAAAATGCTAGAGAGACCAGATTAAGAACCTGTTCACACCAGAAAGTGGCACAAGTCAAATTAGTTTATGTTTTTTAATGATAAAGATGATGCTGGAAGCTTGGTGACAGAGTGACTATTTAGGCTCATAATTCCCTGAATATACATGTAAATGTTGTAAATGTAGGTTTACACAGAGAAGGGTGTTATGGGTAACCATAGGTCACAGAAGAGCCGACAAGAGAATTGGTTAATCCAATTCTTGTCAGGAGGTGGGTTTGAAATGTCCATCCATCCATTATGTATATATAGAGCCTATGCCAGGTGACACTGGGTGAGAGGCAGGGTACACCCTGGGCAGGTTGGCAGTGCATCCTACTGGTAAGAGTCACCAATTAACCTATATGTTTTTGGACTGGAGGAAACAATGCAAACTCCACACAGAAATGTCTCGGCCGGTTTGCGGGTTCAAACCCAAACCTTCTTGCTGTGAGGTAACAGTGCTAACCATTCCATCATCCATGATGTCAGGGTTTAAAATGAAAAAAAAAAAAAAATGCAAATGTTGTACTCCAAATGAGCTATACAAAAAGTAGCCACACCCGCTCTACCTCTGAGCCAGAGCCGTGCTAGGCTTGTCTATGTGGAAAAGTGGAAGAAGACGATATCTTCGTAACATATACATATACCTAATCTACATTCATATTTGCTACCTAATTCCATCTGAAAATCAATGTTAGCAAAATGTGAGCTAATCAGCGAGCTAATGATGTTGATTAGCTAGCTAGTTAGCTAGTGTTTTGACAACATATACATATACGTCGATTTGATCTTTTAACTAACCTTGAAAAGTGGTTGTCTATTCAACATAGATTAGCCTAGCACATAGCATATTTAAGTACAGGAAAGAAGAAAGTTGACTGACGTTCCAAAAGGGGTGGAATTTAGGATGGGTCAACTGGCGGAAATGAATTTGTCAAACTCTGAGACTGAATCATTTGATGGCAGCAATTACAGTCTGACATTGCAGTATTTTATTATGACAGCATGGAGCTTCAGGACCCCAGATCCAAAGGCAACACGAAACTGGGTTACAGCAATAAAACACAATTTTCTTTTGAATGGTATCAGTACTAGGGGTAGATGATGTACTAATATACAGTATTTATCTAGCTAGACATGGTGAGGAAAAACTCTCGTTACAGAGCCTGTCGTCTCATTGTGCATAAGCGGCATCTTGCATCATTACTACAACTGAAATATGTCAGCCAAGGTTTCAAAGTGAGGTGTACTAAAGAAAACTGAATCCCTGATTTGTTGCACAGATTTGAGAGTAACCACGTTACTACTATGATGACCTGATTTCTCAGAGTAACCTGGCTGGTGTATGCAAATGTATCATTTGAAGCTTTTAACATGAGAGCCATGCTAAATGGATGCACAGCTGGTTAAAGCGGAGACGTTGGCTGGGTTGGTCATTATTGAGCTAGTGTGAATGATCATTAAATCTACAAGATGATCTAGAAATAGCAGTTTCTAATAGAATAACTTAGATTATCAATAGCTTGGTTTCTGTAGATTAACAACTGTTATTCTTCAGTATGAAATGCAATATATATATATATATATATATATAAAAATAATATAATAAAAAATAATTCCACCTTCATAAATGGAAAACAAAAGTGCTCTAATGTCATTTTCAGTAGAGGTGTTATCATGCTGGATTTATAATAGGGCTTTCTCATAACAACAGGAAACTAGGGATCCACCGATTTATCGGCTGATATTGGCCTTGTTAACTGACAACGGCCTATTGGCAAATAGGATGGCATCCACCGATATCAGTGGCCGATGTTTCTCTGTTATGTTGTGTCAATTTTGCACTGGCTATATGTTGTATTGGTTATTTCCAACTTGGACATTCCAGCATGAGCACAAATTGCATGCAAAGACCTATTTATGTGCTCCATGCAGCAGCACAAAGTGAACGACTGTTCAGCTCTGTGTCTCTCTCTTGAATAAAAAGAAATAGAAATAGACTGAGCTGCAACATGGCAGAGACAATTAACTTTGTAGATTTATTTGTTTCTCTGGCAGAAAAAGGGCAAATAAATAACAAAATAATCAAATATTGACTATAGGCCAAATTATTTTAAACATAAGTATCTAAAATCTAGTTTCATAATCGGTGCGTCCCTACAGGAAACAGTTTATCCCAGTGTTGACCTTTGACATCATTGTCCCAGTACCTGTGTCACTCTGCTGTACCATTCTCCCTCCGCAGCTACAATCATTACACTCTCACACACAATGTACAAAACATAGTTTGTCTTATCACCATTAAAAATAATTTACAAACACTTTACTATTCACTCTGTGAAGAGTCCAGTAAACTGTTTGGTCTGTGTGTGTGTGTGTGTGTGTGTGTGTGATGTGTGTGGTGTGTGTAGTGTGTGTGTGTTATTTACATTGAGTATTCAGTCAGGTATAACAGTAAGGAGAGGATATGACTTCATGTCTGTGTGTGTCATATTGGCTGATAGTCTGTTCCCTGCATGCCTTGTACAGCGTGTGTATTGCTGTGGCTTTATGTGATGTGTGTATGTACACTGTCCATCTGTCCCTTTTGTGTGTGTGTGTGTNNTCATGTGTGTTATCACTATGTGTGTAAATCTCCTTCCTTTGTGAGAAAGTGTCTTGGCAGTTCAGAGTGTGAATGTGACTTCATGCATGTTTTATTCTTTATATTTATTTGTGACACTCACTCCTCTGTGTGTGTGTGTGTTTATGAGGACATGCCATTGACCAGGCTCCTCAGCTGTTTGACCACAGTCTCTATCAGCTTCTGTTTGTCTCTGTCGTTCTTCCTAAACTGAGAGAAGATGTTGTTCTTCTTACTGGTGTCCTTCATTCTGTACACAGAGAGAAACAGAGTCAAAGGGATGAGTCCCATTAATGCATTCTCTCAGCGGCGCACTCACTCGCTTGCTGATATTGTTGTTACTTTTGAGATTTGATTTGTCAGTTAAGGTAGGTTTATGTTTGACACAGTGTACCATGCACAAGGGTATGCACACCAAAAATGACATTGTTTAATTTGGTCGTGCATCTCCAAATTTCAGGGACTAGGAGCTAGGATTGTGTTGTGTCGTGTTGGGCTTAACATTTCAGGTTGGACGAGTTCCGTTGTTTTTCTCATTTGTTGAATACAAAAGTTAAAACAGGCTTCTGTAGACCATGCCATTAGTTTATTACAATACAAGTAGCAAATAACTTGCAGTAAGTAACTTTTATAAAA